TCTCTTACATGTAGCTGTCCAGTTTTGCCAACACCAGTTGTTGAAGAGACTGTCATTTCCCCATTGTATGTCCATGGCTCCTTTATTGCATATTAATTGACCATATATGTTTGGGTTAATGTTTGGAGTCTCTATTCTGTTCCACTGGTCTGTGGCTCTCTTCTTGTGCCAGTACCATATTGTCTTGATTACTGTGGCTTTGTAGTAGACTCTGAAGTTGGGGAGTGAGATCCCCCTCACTTTATTCTTCCTCCTCAGGATTGCTTGGGCTATACAGAGTCTTTGGTGGTTCCATATGAACTTTAGAACTATTTGTTCCAGTTCGTTGAAGAATGTTGTTGGTAATTTGATAGGGATTGCATTAAATCTGTAGATTGCTTTGGGCAGGATGGCCATTTTGACGATATTAATTCTTCCTAGCCAAGAGCACGGGATGAGTTTCCATATGTTAGTGTCCTCTTTAATTTCTCTTAACTGTCTTATAGTTTTCAGGGTATAGGTCTTTCACTTCCTTGGTTAGGTTTATTCCAAGGTATTTTATACTTTTTGATGCTATTGTGAATGGAATTGTTTTCCTGATTTCTCTTTCTATTAGTTCATTGTTAGTGTTTAGGAAAGCCACAGATTTCTATGTGTTAATTTTGTAACCTGCAACTTTGCTGAATTCTGATATTAGTTCTAGTAGTTTCGGAGTGGAGTCCTTAGGATTTTTTATGTACAATATCATGTCACCGCCTGCTTTTTATACTACAGAAATGCTCTGCTCTTCATGTGATCAATTTAAAGTGCCCATTAAAATTTCATTTGTATATTGGGAACAAGACAGGGATGCCCACTCTCCACACTGTTACTCAACATAGTACTGGAGGTCCTGGCCACAGCAATCAGACAAAACAAAGAAATACAAGGAATCCAGATCGCTGAAGAAGAGTCAAACTGTCACTATTTGCAGATGACATGATATTGCACATAAATACCCTAAAGATTCCACTCCAAAACTACTAGAACTGATATCAGAATACAGCAAAGTTGCAGGATACAAAATTAATACACAGATATGTGAGGCTTTCCTATACACTGACAATGAACTAATAGAAAGAGAAATCAGGAAACAATTCTATTCACAATAGCATCAAAAACAATAAAATACCTTGGAATAAACCTAACCAAGGAAGTGAAAGACCTATACCCTGAAAACTACAAGACATTCTTAAGAGAAATTAAAGAGGACACTAACAAATGGAAACTCATCCCGTGCTCTTGGCTAGGAAGAGTTAATATCATCAAAATGGCCATCCTGCCCAAAGCAATCTACAGATGTAATGCAATCCCTATCAAATTACCAACAGCATTTTTCAATGAACTGGAACAAATACTTCTAAAATTCATATGGAAACAACAAAGACCCCAAATAACCAAAGCAATCCTGAGGAGGAAGAATAAAGTTGGGGAGATCTCACTCCCCAACTTCAAGCTCTCCTACAAAGCCACAGTAATCAAGACAATTTAGTACTGGCACAAGAAGAGAGCCACAGACCAGTGGAACAGAATAGAGTCTCCAAACATTAACCCAAACATATATGGTCAATTAATATACGATAAAGGAACCATGGACATACAATGGGGAAATGACAGTCTCTTCAACAGCTGGTGTTGGTAAACTGGACAGCTACATGTAAGAGAATGAAACTGGATCACTGTCTAACCCCATACACAAAAGTAAATTCGAAATGCATCAAAGACCTGAATGTAAGTCATGAAACCATAAAACTCCTAGAAAAAAACATCGGCAAAAATCTCTTCGACATAAACATGAGCGACTTCTTCATGAACATATCTCCCCGGGCAAGGGTAACAAAAGCAAAAATGAACAAGTGGGACTATATCAAGCTGAAAAGCTTCTGTACAGCAAAGGACACCATCAATAGAACAAAAAGGCACCCTACAGTATGGGAGAATATATTTATAAATGACAGATCTGATAAAGGGTTGACATACAAAATATATAAAGAGCTCATGCACCTCCACAAACAAAAAGCAAATAATCCAATTAAAAAATGGGCAGAGGAGCTGAACAGACAGTTCTCCAAAGAAGAAATTCAGATGGCCAACAGACACATGAAAAGATGCTCCACATCGCTAGTCATCAGAGAAATGCACATTAAAACCACAATAAGACATCACCTCACACCAGTAAGGATGGCCACCATCCAAAAGACAAACAACAACAAATGTTGGCGAGGTTGTGGAGAAAGGGGAACCCTCCTACACTGCTGGTGTGAATGTAAATTAGCTCAACCATTGTGGAAAGCAGTATGGAGGTTCCTCAAAATGCTCAAAATAGAAATACCATTTGACCCAGGAATCCCACTTCTAGGAATGTACCCTAAGAACGCAGCAGCCCAGTTTGAAAAAGACAGATGCACCCCTATGTTTATCACAGCACTATTTACAATAGCCAAGAAATGGAAGCAACCTAAGTGTCCATGAGTAGACGAATGGATAAAGAAAATGTGGTACATATACACAACTGAATATTATTCAGCCATAAGAAGAAAACAGATCCTACCATTCACAACAACATGGATGGAGCTAGAGGGGATTATGCTCAGTGAAATAAGCCAGGCGGAGAAAGACAAGTACCAAATGATTTCACTCATCTGTGGAGTATAAGAACAAAAGAAAAACTGAAGGAACAAAACAGCACCAGAATCACAGAACCCAAGAAAGGACTAACAGTTACCAAAGGGAAAGGGACAAGGGAGGATGGGTGGGAAGGGAGGGAGAAGTGGGGGGAAGAAGAAAGGGGGCCTTACGATTAGCATGTATAATGTGGGGGGGGCACAGGGAGGGCTGTGCAACACAGAGAAGACAAGTACTGATTATACAGCATCTCACTATGCTGATGGACAGTGACTAATCGGGTATGTGGGGGGGACTTGGTGAAGGGGGGAGTCTAGTAAACATAATGTTCCTCATGTAATTGTAGATTAATGATACCAAAAAAAAAATTTCATTTGTGTAAACCTGTACTGAAAAGACAATGGAATTAGACTATGAATATAGGTAGCACCCACCTAGCTATTCCTTGGCATTTATCAAACCAAAATACTTTCCCTCTTGAAGTTGAATCACCCTGAAGATGTAAAAAGAAGTTGCCTTAATGCAAGTTCTTTCAAAAGCAGCCCCTAAGACAGGGGCTTGGAAACAGGTATTTTATTTGAGTGTGGGGAAATGGCAGGAAGGAAGAAAGCCAAGAAAAGGTGTGTTAATGAAAGTGATACCACAGCAGGCAATGCGGACTCAGCCCCTCTGCAAGCCCTCTGAGAAAACGTGGGGAGCGAATCACAGAAGTGTCCCAGTGGGGGTCAAGGAAATCAGGGGCTTTACCCTCATACTCCCTATCCTCAAGGGTCCTCTGTGGGAATGAGTGCCTCTGGGCCAAACATGCTGCTATTTGGATTAGGTTCATCATCTCACCAAACCCCACATTTCCATGGAGTTTTGGCCCTATGTTACAGATTAGGAATCTGAGGTGCAGAAAGATTAAGCCATTTGCTGAAAATGAAGTAGTTAATAAGCACCTAAGCTGGACTCCAAATCCACCTTTCTCTTCCACCACATGATGCAACATTGTAAAAGCCCCAGCACATCCATTCCCCAACAGAGCTGGCACTCCCTGTGGGGTTACACAGCCGGAGAGATGCTTGCACGTTTCCAGCCTCTCTCCTTGCAACGAAAGTGTACTGAGATAGCTTCCCAGGTTGTTTTAATCTTCTTGCATTCACAGAAAAATCATCTAGGTCATAATCCACCAGCCATGTGAAATTTTTATAGCATCATCATCTGTGGCTACTCCCACTCCAAATACCAGTTACTATGAAATTATGCCAGAATTTGGATCAAAGTATGGGGGAAAATTCAAGGCAAATTTTTATCTGATGAACTCATGGCAGAAAATCAAATTTCAGAGAGTTCCAGTATGTTAAAAAATAAAAAACAATCTATAACTTATTATGAGGAGAGTACTTTATTAGAAAAACTAAAACATGCTGAGCTCTACCAGGACACAGAGGTCAGGCTAATGGGTCAGCCAAGGAAAGTCTTTTCTTGCTTTAGTAGAAAAGATAATAATCTCCAAATAACTAGCATCTGAGACTGGCTTGATTTAAAATGCACATAGATACAGAAAAAGTTCCAGGAAACCACTGTATTTATAGCTTGCCTGCATTAGTCAGTGGAGTGGCCTTGCTGCTCTCAAAATAACACCTGGGAAGGCACAGTGTCCTAGCACCCTCACTAAAGCAAAGGTGTGGTTCTCATCTGCGGTCCCATAGGTTCCCGAGGAGGATGCCTCACACTTCCCAGGGAGCCAGGAGAACACACAGGCCCCTCCGACCTCCCCCACCTCTAGCCCAGCTGTACAGCAGCTGGTTCAAGTACACCCCAGCCCAGGAGCTCCAGAGGAGCCCACCTGAAGGAGCCCTTGCCCTAGACTCCTCCACCAACCACCTACCATCAGTCAGATTTAGAAGGCAGAGACCCCTTAAACATCATACCGTACAAGACACAGGATCTTTGCCTTAAGGATAAAGTGCACGAGAAGATTCTGGCCAGGTGCTGATTACCAAGATCTCTCACAGAAGAACCACGTTAAGGGTCAGAGGAGGAAAAGACAGACAGCAATCTTGTGAACAAATTACCATGAGGCAGAGAACAAGACCCCAGCCATACCCTCAGTGGGCTGTCTAGGATCGAAGATGTTTATCCTCTTGGTAAAGAATTTCATAATTCTTGATCCACAGCAAGTGTGGGCAAGGTTCCAGGCACATGTGAGTATCTGTGTGCCCAGAGCTGCCTTCCCTCCCAAGAACGCCATAGCAACATGAAGGCCTTCCGGGAATGGGCAATGGCCAGGTCTCACAAAGGCCTCTGTGGCAGACACCCATCCACTGAGTCCAACAGGAAAGGGAAGGGCTGGGGTGCAGAGAACACTTCACCTGGCACACTGGGCTGGAAGACTTTATTCAGATCCAAGGAGGAGGCTCTGGAATGGGTTTTCTGTGGCCGCGGTGGCGGGGTGGGAGGATCCTCACCCCTTTTCATGGCCTCTTCTATGGAGGTGCTAGAGTAAGATCTGCAGCAAAATAAGGGAGGGTCAGAAGGGAGACAGCAAAGCTTTACTCTGAAATTGGGTTGAAATGGTAAATACCCACAAAAGCCTGCAAAAGGACTGAGGAGCTCCCAGAGCAACATGAATTCTGGCGTCCCTTAGATACCACTATCTGCACTAACTGCCGAAACCCAACAAGTCATAATCTTTTTTAACCTCTTTTCTCTGATTATGCCTTAGACCTAAATTTACCCCAAAGGGAAAGCTTCCTATAAACTCTAATCAGTTTCCATTGGAGTTAATGAGAGTAACATGTAAACCCTTCCTGCTTAGGTACTTCTTTATTTTAATAGAAGGGTTTCATGGTATTAACTGACTGCAAAACTTTCCTCCTGTTCACATGTAAATGGAATTGGGACAGATAAGGTGAGAGTAAGAATCAAATGTTCAAGGGCATATGCCACAAATGAAATTCAGGAGAGGAAAACACATCAATTAACTTGAGAAGTCTAGGTTGTCTAACCATGAGAAACACGGGTTTTTGGAAATTTTCAAAGCAAAAGGCTCCTCTCAACCTTCTCCTTCAATCTGTATGAAGGCAGTAGCTAACTCGGCAGCTTTTGAGATTTTAACTCCAATGACAACATTGAAAGAAAAAGGAACTAAATAACTTGCCAAAGGTCACACAACTAGGAAGTTACACAGGTCCCATTCAAACTCCAGTCTCTCACTGCTTCTAGTGCATTTTTCTCACTGTATTTTTTAAACATTCTAATAGGGGATGAAACCTTTTGGCAGTAGCAACTAGACTGTTTATTAGAGACCTACTTACTTCCTAAATTAACTCAACTCAGTACTAGTTCATTGCTAAGGAATAGGTTTGTGGACAAGTTCCCAATAGTTTTCCAAGAAGTGGATGTGTACATCTGCTCTATTCAGTGTCTGAGCTAACTTCATGTCAGAGAAGAAAATGACCTATGAGTCAGAGATATGTCCTAGCAACAAATTTACCACAGAAAACTGTTCTCAGTACTTAGCTCTTCAAGTGATAATTATGAAATTAAAATCTATCAATTACTATTAAGCAACTCCCGCTCTTGAAAAGCAAGTTTTCTCACAGCAAGTTTTTCTTTTCCTAAGTTTCTCAAGGTTTCCTTGTGGTAGTTGAGTTTTGTTTGTCATGCAAGGTTGCAATTTTTAATAAGGCCACTGTAACAGCATGTGACATGCTCTGGGGTGGTCCCTGTAATATAACTGGCAAGACAGGCAAGACAAAGGCATGCAGGAACCAGCAAGAAGACTGTTCTAATACTTTCAACCAAAGGAAAAGGGAATTGGTATGAAAGGACAGTTTTCAAATGAGAACACTTGATTAAGAAAGAAAATTAGAGACCCCAGCTAGAAATTAGAAGAATTTTCTATGCTAGAGACAGCCTTAGTGACATTTTCCACTCAAGAAGGAAAAAATGTATGTGTATAAATAATGTGTGTGCGTGTATATATAAATTATTATACACAGTGAGGCATACTATCCCATACCACATCTCATCCCATTTTGTTTCCACATATAATCTGTGTATTTATGTTTTCATAGGGAAATTTAACTGAATATCAAACCAATGATACTGTAAAACTATGACTGCAACCAATTAAAATATAAATGTGCAGGGAATCAACAAAATGATGAATGTAGTACTGTCAGAATGGTGGCTTTCCCTCTTTCCCACTTCTCCAAATCTTTCTTCTTCTAAAAAGGAGGATAAAAACAATTTCATTTCCTTGGTCTCAGTAAAGGTCCAGTTGGGAGTAGTGAAAATAAAGCCATCCAAATTAGACAAGAGGGCCATTTCCTAAAAGAATAATATATAAAATTTAACTTGAGGTATTAATAATAGAATATGTAACTCAGATTTTATAATCCCCTCACTTTCAGGAGAGAGAAGTCATCAGCACAGGTGAAAACTGTGAGGTTCAATTTACTGTTAGCATAGTACACCTAAGCAGATTTCTATAATTCAAAAAAGGTTTTTCCCACTATGAGGGCAGGTAAATGTCAACATTCCTACATCCTAAAGCCAGCAGAAACTAATCTGTAAAACATCCATTCATACTTTAAAAAAAAAGAATGAATAAATATGGTAATAGAAATACTGACTGTACCTTTTCTTCCAAACAAAATAACTGTATCTACTGTTTTAAAATATATATATATATATATCTGTCTTCTATGAACAAGGAAACAAAACCACAATTTGCAAAATCCAGACCTAAAAGATAAACTAATGGGTAACTCTTTGATTTACAGAGATGAGATTTCCTTAAATGTCAGTATTACATGCACATAAAATATGATTAGATTTAAATTCACTTTTTCAGGAAGGCATCTAGTAACCAAAGGAGGAAAAAAGTCACTAAGAGCCAAAGTAAAACTTGGAAAACACACATGTAAGTGTCCTATCTTATACTAGTCTACTGGGGTGAAGAGCAGCCCCAATACCATTTCCCCTCTTTGATGTTCTGTTAGTTCTACTAGCGTTTCTCTATTTCTCCTCGCTCCTCCCTTCTGATGTCAGATGTCAGCTACAGCTCTTCCTTACTGGCTCTCCCTCTTCTATTAGCCTCTACAGCCTTAAAACCTGTGAAGCCAGAAAGAGGCTCTAAGGATGAAGACCATGAGCACTGCTTACCTGAAGCTTTAAGCCTCAATGAAATCACCCTGAGCATTTTCTTTCCCTCCTCTAGATCTTATTCCCCCAGATGTCTTACTTTTTGGTGTTTGCCTTGTCATGATAGTAAATTTTGGTGTTAGTTACCTTTTGACTGTATCTCTTTCTTTCCAAGCTACCTCCCCCTATTTGTTATCAGCTTGCAACAAACGGGTCAAATCGCACAAGCCACCTCTTCATGGCAGGTGGCCACAGAGCAGCAGCCACCATTCTCCAGCACTAACAAACAGAAACTAAGTCTCCCCAGCAGCACTGCATGCTCCAGTCAGGCCCCTGAAGACAAGTGAACTCACCTATAGTCTAAGCTTCAGATCTAAAGGAAAAGGAGATTGTGGGTTGGGCTTGGGGTGGGGGGAGGGTACTTCTAGTCAGGAACAGGGCACACAGGCATTAAAGCAGAAATTAAACAAACACTACCTGGATCTTGGTCTTGATTTGAGACTGCTGGAATCCTTAGGAGTGGCTGAAACAAAGATTAGTTGTTGTTTGCTTGGGTTTCATTTCTGTAGTTAAACAGGTTTATATGCAGCACCTGGGCTAGTACAGACAGAATACATCAACAGGTAAGCAGGAGGTAGAGGGATCCATGTGGAGAACTGGCCCTCCACATTTGCATGATTTTGTAATTTCTAAAGCTAAAGGCACAATTAAAAGGAAAGAAAAACCAACATATTTTTCCTTTCATCAGAACACTAAGAATAGCACTATCAAATCTAAGTTGATTAATGAAGAAATTCTCACCTAAAAAGACAACCCACTCAAAGGGTTATCTACTTACATAATAATGGGTTCAGACAGGGTTTGTGGGTCTATCATGATAGCCTAGTAACAGCTGTTGAACCAGTCTCTCCTGAAGGCTAGGAAGAAATCTATCAGGTTGCATATTTTAAGATTTTCTTAAAATATACCACCAAAGCAGCATGGTCGCATGAAATTAAAGCTCCCACAAGTAAGGTAAATGAGTTACGCAGCTGCTTCTTTAAGAAAACATTCCTGTGTCCCACGTCTCTGGTCATACAGAAAATATAGAGTGAAATCATTAAAATGATTTGTCAACCATACAACTTTTCCTTATCAAATTTAAATCATAAACTAACTCACTCCCAGTCATAACTATCAACTCCCATGGATCCACTTTCCCATCACAAGTTGCTGAGAGTAATTAGAAACATTTACAAAAACATTCATCCTCTTTTTATGTTTCAATCCTTTATGGAAGACAACTTTAGAAACCACTGCAAGCTTTTCATAATAAAATGTCATAAAATTTCATAGAAAAAGTGCTACTAAATAAGAACAAGAAGAATATAATTTGTATATTGTTTACACAAATTCTTCCAGAAAGAAAATGTCTCTCGGCATTCTGCCATCCTCTTTTACACTGCTCCAAAGATCAAAACCTCCTTGTTATGAAGCAGCCTGAATTTATGATGCTCATGAAAATCCTAGGGTTAATAAGCAGGGCAGAAAGAGGGGCTGAAATGCTAAGAAAGCACAAAGCAAACTAAGCAAACTAGCAATCACACTCCCTTAGATAGGGTTGGCTGCAGAAGACATGCATTTCTTCCATCCTAAGCATTTTGGCATGTCGTAATGAGAACACAGGCATCTTTCAACTTCAAACCACTGAAATGCTGCCAGAGCCCTGGAAAGCCCAGGCAGCTGAGGAGTCTGAGCCTGCCTTGCCCATCATCAAGCACCCGGCACCTGCACATAGATGGAAAACTGGCTCCCCCTCCTACAAACCCCAGGCAGCAAAGGAAAGTGGCCTAAGGGGAGCCTCTCCTCCAGCCGGGCAGGCTGCCCTGGGGCTGGGTGGACAGCGTGACCAAACTCACCCCAGAACTGGGGGTCACCCCCAGAGCAGACTGCCCACAGATGGCTCTGCGCCCCTCTTCTCTCTCAGGCCATGCTGCTTTCCAGAAATATGTGAGGAGAAGTCTCAGCCATACTGCAGTACTGTTTCTCAAACCAGACCACAGTGACTGTTAATTCCTTTGTCAACTGTCATTATCTTTGTCTTCATGCTGGGGTGAGAATGGGTGTAGTAGAAGGGATGAGCCTTGTTGGTGAGAGATAGGCAGACAGATGGAGTAAAGGGGACCGATAGTGTGACCAGGCCAGGAGCCCTGAGGCTTAGGTGCTCCTCTTGGTCATGAGTCTAACTAGCTCTTACCCCTCTGAACCTGTTTCCTCACCTACCAACTGATGATAATAAAAATACAGTCCCTTTCTCACAGGAAGAAACAAGAAGGTGAAAGTACTTAGAAACTGAAAGTATTTTAGAATTGCAAAATATTTCTGTTGTAGAGCATTCCCAGTTTTTCAAGACTAGAAATCTGGTTTCTAAATTCAGCTCCTTCTAAGACAGCAAAGGAGGTGCAGGTGGGAGCAGGTAATGGAAGGAAGAGAAGTGCTATACCCCATAAGACCACGCGGTGATAGCTGGCAATGGGGCCACTGCTAGAATCACCAACAGCATCTGAAGACTGCAGTGCAAGGATGAACAGGCCAAACACCCTCAGCATGACCTAGAGACATCAAGGGAAAAGATCACAAGTGTGCAGTGTACTCTGTTGAATTGGGCTAGAATGTGATGTTAGCTGAGAACTCTGTTAGACTCCACTAAGATACACACTTCCAATGATTAAAAGGGTAAGGGCATATGAAAACACATGTAACAAGGAATACCACAAATCCCTGATAACAGTCCCACCCCATCTATAAGCCACCACATTGCCATCATCACCATTACTACTGTGAGCATCATTATTACCACCCCAGTACAGAAGAGCAGGGCAGGGAGGTGCTTCTCCTTCCACTTGCAAAAACATATCCCAGGCAGGTCTTGATAAGTCTCCCCAGGTTTCAGACCAAAAAAGGCTGCAGAAAACTATTCAAGTCTTCCGTCAGCCTCCAAGTCCCTGAAAATCAGACTTAGCAACTGCAGCATGTGATTATCTACAAAAATGGCAAGGGCACGCTGTGTTGGAATCCAGGCAGAAGGCAGAGAGCAGATCATAGCTTCTCATTTAGCTGGGAAGAGGGAAGAACAACAACAGTTTCCTAGAACACTCCAGGCATGTCATCTTTCCAAGAAACAGAAATGGGTGTAAGGGCAAGCCTAACATTCAGTTCTCCAAAAGGCAGCAATTCAACTGAGGTAAACTGTCCACATGGTATGGACAGCCATTCAGAATTAGAGACCAGCACCTTAAAATCTAGTGTCTCCTGCTGGAACCCAAACATTGCCCAAGAAAGTGGGCATTAAACACATTTTCAGATGAGGGATTCCCTCATATCTGCTCTGAAAAGGGGCAGCAGTAGTAAGAACAACTCAAAACCACAGGGCAAGCTCCCAGGCCAAATGTGAAGCAAATTCATATGTACTCCGTGCACTGCAGCACACCCTCATAGGTTTTGTCTGGTGACGCCATGCCCTATTCAGGGAAATGTTAAAAATGACATCTAGGGTAAAATAGATGAAGGGGCTAAAAAGGCACAAACTCCAAATACTAAAATAATTTAGTCACTATATGGAATATAGCTCATAATACTGTAATAACTTGGTATGGTGACAGATGGTAACTATACTTATGGTGAGCGTTATGTAATGTATGTTATTATTGAATCACTGAGCTGTTCATCTGAAACTAATATAATGTATATAAACTATATTTCAATAAAAATTCTTTTAAATGATTCTAAAGCTCTGCCTCAGAGAATATGTGATGCTCATGGAAAGAATAAGAAGAGTTACTGGCCTCAAAGGCTGTTGGAGTAACAATTCAACTCTCCAAATTTAAACAGCATTTACTAATACCATTACATGAAGTTTACAAAAGCTGTGACATATCCACTTTAGCTCCAGAAATAGGAGTTGTAAAGAATCTACCTCAGGCATCTGCCCTTGTAATGAAGGAACCCAAATCAGTTTCAAAACCCAAAAGCAGGCTTGAGAATTCCTACCACTTCTGTAGTCATGGTTGATCTACAATCTTAAATTCCTAATTCTTAACATCACCTTTTAGAGATAGCAGTTCCCAAAATAGGCTGTACAAAAGAATCACTTGCAGGGTGGTGGGGCAGGTGGGGGGGGAATGCTGCACCAAAAATATAGATTCTTAGGCCTTATCATTGAAATCAATCACATTGCTCATTACATTTTCTCTCTCTCTCTCTCTCTCACCCACCACCCCGACCCCATACCCCTCTTTTAAATCTTGAATGAACTTGGTGTTTGGGAAATGCTATACTATAGCACAAGCCTCAATGTTATACTGATTCCTTTGTTCCAACTTTAAACAAATAAGCCTGGGATGACAGTGAGCTAACCAAAACAGATAGATTTACTTATTAAATATTGAGAGAGAAAAATAGAAGAGAAAGTGGCAGCTTCTTTCATATCCTCATAACCAGAGCTCTGAATAGTAACATGTCCCCCAGCAAGTTGGTTTTCAACTAGGCTCATCTTAGTTCAATGATGGCTCCATCAAGACAGCTAAGGACACAGGCCCAGCTATCTTCACCATTCACAGACATAGTTCCAACTCTCTAAGAACCTAGGCAAAGACAACTTTTATTTTTCTCTTGGGATCCACTCACTGTACAAGCACAGTTACTTGCCCTCCTGATGGTGAGTATCATGAAAACATTTGAGATCTTTGCTTTGGAAATAGAAAATTTCGACTGTGGGCCCCCAGCTGATCTACCCCACCAGTTCCTTCGTCAATACAAAGACCACAACGGCTTGTTGAAATCTTCTCAACCCTAAACCTTCTCATTTTACTTAGTAACAATGAGACTCTAAATTAAAACCGATTCTTTCTGTGAAACCTAAACTCAGAACTTTAAAAGAGTGAAGGGGTTTAAAAAAAAAGGTTTCCTTATAATAAAACACAAGACAAATATTTAGAGAGAAACATATACATTATTACAGATGTAGCAATCTTCTACTCAATGGAACTACTGCTTTGTTTTGCTTTGCTTTTTCATTAGAGATAATTATGTTAAAAATATATTAAAATGTTTTTCTCCTACCTGGATCCTCAGACATGTCCTTTGATAAGGCTTCATCCTCAGTACTTTTCAAAGCTAGCAGTGTTTTGTTTGTTTTTAAAGGAGAGAAAGGAGAAAAGAAAAAAAAGCTATAAAATTTAATTTCTGGGGCACATTACATTAAAACAAAGAATCCCTAGTCATCACTTAAAAAAAGTGATGTTACAAACTTCTGTAAGTTGCTATAGCACTTACTGAAACAATGAAGTATGGAACAACCTAGGTTCTCCTATGGAGAACAAAGCAGGATTTTCACCTTTCCAGAGAAAGCGCCTCTAGTGGCTATAAGGAGTATTGTTGGGAAGTACAAGGAATTTCGCCTGTTCATTCCTGACATCCAGAACAAGGACAACAGAATTTCTGGGAGACCCACGCTTCAGTATTTTTAAGAGCTCGCCCAGTTATCACAATGTGGATTCAAGGCTAATACTTCTGACATACTTGTGAAAAGAGTGATCAGAATACATGCCTCTGGAGACAACATCCAGTTCTGCCTGCCTCTCCTGAGCAAATATTTAAATAGAGAACATGCAATTATTGTTTCCTCACAGAAAACTTCTTTTTCAAGTTTATCTCCCGTACAAAGCTGTGTCAATGGCAGGTCTTGACAGTAAGACCTGAGATAGTTTCACTGGTTTTTAGTCCCTTCAGATAAGCCTCTCGTTCATGGGTAGGGAACCAGAGTCAGGTAATAGAATATTGGCTTCACATTTAGGAAATCTTGGTTCTTTATCCCCACTCCTTTTCTTACTAAGCATGATTCATATTATCTAAATTTCAGTTGACTCCTCTTTAATTTTAGGTAATAAACATACCAGCCTCCATTCAGTTCCGTGAGGACTGAAGACAACACTGTATGAGGAAGGATTTGGTAGATGATAAAGCACTATGTGGCACTCCATAGTGGGGGAGAGGGTTCATCCTGCACATCTAGATATTATGAGGTGAACTCATCTCTGTGCTCAGCGGTAGAGATAACAGTGAACACTGTGCTACACTGCTTTCCACCCATGAAGTAGGAAAGCCAAATTGTTGCTGGGCTCCACACTGCAGCCCCACACCCACAAAGTCACAAAGAATAAAGCCCAGGGACAGAGACTCTCTCCAGCAGATAAGTTCCTCATGGATTAGACCTGTGTACAAATATGTGTTTATACTGCTATTCAAGAATCACATCTGTGGACACAAGATGTTAAGCTCTCAATTATTTCAGCTTCCAGTCATTTCCTAATTCATATGACCAGATTCCAATGTAAGATGTCTGAGCAGCCTGAGGATCAGCAGCGAGTAAGGGGCCAATGAGTTTGGTGGCTTTGGACACTCAAGCTCTTGTTATCACTTTAAGAACTATAGTTCTGTGACAACAGTGTGAACTAATTAATCCATCCAAATATATTCATATACTGAGAACTGTCCTCACATGCTCTAGAAGCCAGCCATTCCAAAAGAAGTGGATAAAGAAACATAGGTATTATGTCCCTAAAGGAAGAAAACTCATTCTTTTCATACCTTGTTTGTCATCACCAGTCACATCTTGGATAGGGACAGGAAATTCGGCCATGTCTTTAATAGACAGCTTCTTGAAAAAGAAAATTAAATTAATTATATGGGTTGGAAGGGAAATTAAGTCATGTGCCCATATGATAAAAATGTTTTAAAAGCTACATATCTCACCAAAATTGTGTCTTCGGAAAATCCTGGCACTTAACACTATCTTATTTTCTTAGGTTCCTAGTGAGGTATAAGTTAATTTGTATGGAAAATGTATATGCAATAAAAGAAGAAAAAAATAATGATTCCAATTGAAGCATACATATACACCACACACATTAAATCTGAATTGGGTGTGGGACTCAGCCACAGAGTCACATAGCATTTGCTCATTAGTCAAGAACAAAACAAACGCTATGTATCTTTTCATAAGCAGAGAGAGGTTCTGACAAATGGTCCCACAATGGGTTTATTTGCCAGGATCTGTTATGCAGAGGGTATTCAACCCTGATTCAAACAGCCTCCTTGTCAAGGAATAAGAAAATTTTACTAATGAGCAGAACACAATTTTCTCCTAACTCTCATATGGGGGAAGTCTTCACTTATACTAGTAAGGTGGACACCTAAATTGATCAAGTACTGATTAGTTTAAAATTATGTTTAAAATCTACTTACTAAAAGTTTATTTCTTATAAACTCTCAATTAACATTCACTCTAAGACCTCTGATGGGACTGAATTAAAGAATAATATATATTCATATTTGCTATATATATAAAACAAATTCTGGAGAGATACATACAAACTGAAGGGTGACTGGATAGATTAGGGAAAGTGACAGGAGGAGTACTTGTCATTATATTCTTTTGATATTCTTATTATTTTAAACATCCTCAAAAAATCAAATACATAAAATTTTAAGACCTGGAGCTATCTGGTGTTCCAAAGAATTAACTGGTTAACCCTTGAAATCTGAACAACCTGAGATAAGCAATGCTGCTATTTATAAATTATTTCCAAGAATGAAGTTATAGTACTGCTTGGCGGTAACCTGATCTAGAATTTAATAATCCTCAGGTCATTATCGGCATTATAATTAAGTATCCAAATGTAATTTCCTAAGCAAAGTCTAGTATATCCAGTAGAACAGAGAATGTATCTTAACAGTGCGTTTCTTTCACTTTGTTTTCCCATCTGCACTATAAACCAGATTCTTAGAAGAAAATGATTTAGAAGTAGAAAACATAGATAAAAACATTCAAAAACACACTCTCAAAGAAATTTTTTAAATCTAAATAAATGGAAAGAGATCCCATGCTCGTGGATCAGAAGACTTAATACTGTTAAGATGGTAACACTCCCCAAATTCATCTATAGGTTCAATGCAATCCTCACATTTTTACAGAATTTGACCAACTGGTCCTAAATTTCAAATGGAAATGCAAGGGACCCATAATTGCAAAAATATTCTTGAAAAAGAAGAACAAAGTTGAAAGACTTCTACTTCCCAATTTCAAAACTTACCACAAAGTTATAGTAATCAAGACAGTGTGGTACTAGCGTAATGACAGAAATATAGATCAGTGGAATAGAATTGAGAATCCATAAATAAACCCTTACATTTATGGTCAGTTGATCTTCAACAAGGGTGTAAAACAATTCAGTGGGGGAAAACTGTCTTTTCAATAAATAATTCTGAGACAACTGGATATCCATATACAAAAGAATGAAGTTGGACCTCTTCCTCAGAGCACACCCAAAAATTAACTCAAAATGGATCACAGACCTAAAACAATAAAACTCTCAGAAGAACATACAAGAGTAAATCTTCATGACCTTGTATTATACAATGTTTTCTTAGATATGACACCAAAAGCATAAACAACAAAAGAAAAAATAGATAAATTGAACTTCATCAAGATAAAAAACATTTGTGTTGTAAAGGACACTACAAAGAAAGGGAAAAGAGAAACCAAAGAAAAAATACTTGCAAGTTATAGATCTAATAATGGACTTCTCTTCAGAAGATAATAGAAAACACAACTCAACAATAACCCAACTATACACGGGCAAAGGATTTGAACAGACATTTCACCAAAGAAGACATACAAATGGCCAGTTAGTACATGAAAAGATGCTCAGTATCATTAGTCATTAGGAAATTGAGCACAAAACCACAATGAGATACCACTTCACTCCCAACAGGAGGACTAGAATCAAGAAGACGGACAGTAACAAGTGTTAACAAGGATGTAGAGAAAGTGGAATCCTCACACATTGCTGGTGGAAGAATGTAAAATGCTGCAGCTTCTGTGGAAAGTGTTTGGTAGTTCCTCAAAAAGTTAAACACAAGTTACAATATGATCCAACAATTCCACTCCTAGGTATATATCCAAGAAAATTAAAAACATGTTTTCACATAAAAACTTGTACATGAATGTTCATAGCAGCATTTTTTTTTAAAGCCCCAAAGTGGAAACTACCCAAATGTCAATCAACCGAGGAATGGACACACAAAACATGCTATGTCCACTCAATGGAATACTACTCAGCAATAAAAAGGAATGAAGCACTGATACATGCAGCAACATGAACTTTAAAGCACTATACTAAGTAAAAGAAGCCAGTCACAAAAGACCACATATTATATGATCCTATTTTATATGAAATGTCCAGAATAGGCAAATTCAGAGACAGAAAATAGATTAGTGATTACCAGAGGCTGGGTAATAGGAAGAATAGTGAATGACTGCTAATGAGTATAGGCTTTCTTTTGGGAATCACAAAAATGATCTAAAAGTAAGACTATAGCTATGGTTGCACAACTGTTAATGTGCTAAAAATCATTGAATTATAGACTTTAGAAAAGAAAATGATCTAGTAATCTAAGAAATACTACTGAAGAATATGTGAAATTATAATCTTTAAATCCTGATAGAAATAAGTACATGGTTACAGCTCTGCTGTCTTTAGAAAAAGATGTATTACCGAACAAACTTCTCATGACCTGAACCAGCCACAACTTTAGTTACAACACAGTTATATGGAGCCATCACTCACAAGGCTGCTACCAAGATCTATTTAAATTCCATGTATGCATTTATGAGAGATTAAAAGATTGGGAGAAGAACAATGAATAAAATAGAAGAACATGAAATATTTAATCATTAGCTATTAAAATCTGACCTATACTTCCTGAATGGCCAAGTCATCAATTAACTTTATTACTTCACCCATGAATTCTGTTTATTACATCATTCTCTAAAAGCACCTCACCCTCAAGAACAGCCATCTTGTTGGTAAAGTGTTTTTTGTTGTTGTTCTTTTGCCTTCCTGGCCTACAAACAAACCTCTTCGGACACTGCCAGCAGCCCCAAGGTATACTGAGGGCCGTGAACAGTGGCTATGTATCTGCATCTCCATCGTACACATTCTGCAGAAAAAGGAATTTAAAAGAGCCAAAACTCTTCAAATGCACATCTATCACTCCTCCTGAAATCACCATGTACCTTTTTCCCATGAGTAGAAATCTGTCAAGTAAAGTAACATGGAGTCTATGACTCAAAGAGAAGCAGGAAGGCCAAGAGAAATGCTATCAGAGGGAGCACTACAGAAGCAAGCTTGACTCACTGACTCACTCACCAAGGCGCAGAGGATGTCATCTACTACACAGACTAGAGGCATGAGAGCCCCACGGGAAAGAATAAATAATCACACACAGTTACAAGAAGTTAAAGAAATGGCCCTGCATCCTGTCTTTGACTTCTATCATGTTGTAACAGCTTTAACTAGGGTCAGAGGACTGTAATAGAAGCCTATGAATAAACCTCCATTTATTAAATATCTCCAGATTTTTCTGAGGACAGGAACGCCAGGTATCAGAAGTTGTCATCATAGCAATCGTAATAGTGATGATGATGAAGGTGCTGATAGTAACAACTCCTATTTATGGATGCATACCTAAGGACCACTAAGCATATGGCTAAGCCCTTACAGCAAGGGCCCAACATTATGGGACTTCTCCAATTCCTCTTTAAGATCACCCAAATCAGTCTTCATGTGGTCCAAAAGCTAAAAACCTTGAGGGAGAAGGCAGCTTTGAGTGTGACTTGGGGCCCTCATACATAGTCCTCCCACCTCCCCTCAAAATCGTTCTTGCTCCTTATACCTTGTTAATACTCAGCTACTAAAAACGCAACTTTACAATGTGTGTTTTAGAATTAAAACTAGGTTAAAGTAAATAACTTGGCTAGTATTTTTCTGCTTAGTCAAGTTATATCTAAATTTCACCTCTAGAAGGTCAAAAGACTACTTATTTCACCATCTAGTTTTAGGGAGAAAAGAACAAAAAGATGATTATAAATAGATCTCACATCTAGATTTGAAAGGCTGGACCTCACGTAAGTACAAAATAAGAAGGGAAAATGTTGTGAAAGTGGATTTTCCAGAATTTTTAAAGACCATAGGCTAATGGACTTTTCTACACACATCCTTACTTATTAACATATGAAGATCTTTTACCTCCATCTGATTCAAGTCACGGGGTTGTTGGTTTGCTGGCATTGACTCAGAATAAGAATCAAACAGTGCACATTCCCACTTGGGTTTAGGAAAAGCTAAGAAGAAACAAAAAGACGAAATAAGAATATATACTATAATCATAGGGGACATTGTTTCCTATCAGCTTTTCTGTGCTTGTTAAATGTAACACCACAGTCACCTAGCTCCTAGGTACTAGTTATGGCACTAATTACACTGAGGTAGTATTTTAAGTTCTTTACATATACAACCTGGTATTTCTATTATCCCCATTTTACACGTAATGAAACTGAGCAGCAGGGAGGGTCAGCAACTTACTCAAGGTCTTACTGCTGGTCAGTGGAAGAGTAGGGACTTGCAAGTCAGCAGTCCTGCTGGAAGGTCCATGCTTCCTAGCATTGCAGGTTATAACAGTCATTTTCCACATTAACCATCATTATCACAATACTTAAGTTTTAACTATGCTACTAGCATAATTTTTAAAAGGCAGTAACTATGGTGACAGTTTTAATACTATAAACATTAAGGAAATACTTCATTTTAACTATTATTGTTGGAAATAAACAAGATCTTATAACGGTATATGCCCAAGAAAACATTATGAAATACACATTTATTTTAGTTAGCAGGAATAACAAAAATAAAAGCACAAGTTCTTGCTGATTTACAACAAGGAGATAAGGCTCGCTTTATGGGTTTCTTCAAACATAGAACAGTCACCAGGGTTGTTAGTTGGGTAGCTGAGTGGATCAGCATGAGGAAAACATCATGTCACTTGGTAAGCTAATACTTAACACTCATGCTATTAGAAGCCGATTCTGTTTTACCTCTGTCACAAAGTAATTAAGAAAGAAATGTCTTAACAACTAGAGAATTTGTCAATATTCCAAAGAGGAAAAGCAGACTGCGGGTAGACAATAAACAGAAGGTACAAATCTAGTTTGTCAAGACCACCTATTAAGAAATCAAAACCTTAATGTCACTCAAAAGAATTTTGAATCAAATGTTAAAAATGGATTGGCATTGCGTTTAATCCTTTCTCACCCTCGTAATCCCCACCAGAATTTGAAATGTCAGCTTGCCTGCAGGAAGGCACTGACCACTGAGTAACAGCTACCACATGCGGCTGAGTACCAGCACCTTGAGTTGCTCATCTGCATACTCTGGTCTGAATTTCACTGACAGCCACTGGGACAGACTGCAGGCCCTGATGGTTTTTCTGACTAAACGAGGTGATCTTTCTCCTTCACAAAAATTCAGCAAAACACCTTTGCAACTACCATTCCTCAATCTAGTCCCAAAAGCAGTTTTAAACAAGGTAAGATTTTCCCTCCTAGTTTATCAATCAGACCCCTTATCATGTGTTGGGAGCAAGGGAGTCTTGCTATGAAGAAAGCGAACACATTTCAAAGCTACAAATGCCATCAATTAACTGTTAAATCTCTCTCCAGCATGTCCCCATCTCTCCACCTATACTGTCACCTCCCTAGTCCCAGGCGCCCACAGCTCCCACATGGACAGCTGCCATAATCTGATCTTCCAGTTTCCACCCTTGCTCCTCAAAACATGCTCTCTGGTCAGCAACCAGCACATAATTTCAAACAGCAAATCAGATGGTGTCACCCTCTGCTTCTCTGTACGTCAATGCCACTGCCCATGATTTGTTCCCCACCTTCCTCTTTAGCCTCATCCCAGACCCTCCAGCTCTGCCTCTTTGTACTCCAGCCACTGTGACCGAAGCTTTACCTGCCTCCCGTATTCCAAGCCCCATCTCAGGGCCTCTGCAGCATACCTGCTGTCCCCTCTACCCAGAGCCCATTCATCCCCCTTCTTCACCCTCATGTCTCAGCTCAAACATTTAAGGAAGTCTTCCCTAAGGTTATGCACCTTCTTGTGCCAGCTATACTTCCCCTTCATAGTACCTATAAACTAGCTCCAATTATGCATATATGAGTTTATTTAATATCAATCCTCTAATTGCCAGCAAGTTCCAGGATGGTAGAAACTCTCTTTTATACAGCATGCTGACCACAGAAAATAACACAGTGCCTCTCACATAGTAAGTACTCAATAAACAATTTTTAACTACACAGTAAAAAAATCTATACTAGAATCCACCCTGTCACCTAGACATGAAAATATCAGAAAGCTCCTTTTGCTTCCAATATAGCCTTTTAATTTTCACTGTTAGGGGAAAAATCAAATACAACAATTCCTGTTTCATTATTTTATTGAAAACAAGCCTATATAGTTGTGAGAATAATGGTATCAACCAAATTCATATTCTTCACCAATCTTGTTGCAAACTGGATTAGATTTTTTTTAAAGACTGAATATAAATCAATTAGAAAAATGGTGAAAAGACTAAGCTTTGAAAAAAGCTAAATGGGAAACCATAAACATGAACCCCCAAAATGAATAGGACCACTCATATTTTGCAAAGTCTAAAAGCATAGAGAAGACCTAGGCAGTTCTGACCATTTTCTTGGGCTATATACAAAGGTAAACATGGGTGATAAAGCATTTAAAAGTTAACTGTTAAACCTTCAGGGTTTGCCTAAAATATACTGCCACTGAATTTTGTGAAGTCTCTCATGCTTCTTGTTCGAACTATATAATTATTATTTTAAGATTAACCCCACAAACTCTGGAAATGATGTGCAATTTTTGTTTAATTGAAGGGTATGTGATGGATTCTTCAGTTTTTTCTGTATAAATGCATGCTGACTGCCTCCATAAAAGACCAGGAAGTAACAAGGGTTTCATGCCAAATGAAGGGAGATGCCTCCTGACTGGTGCTCTGTTTAATAGACATCACTCTACTGTATAAGCAAGGCATCACATTTTCCTTAGACACCACTCTCTCTTGCCAATAATCATCCATGTTTTTAAGAGACCTTCCCTAAAACACAAGAAAGACTGATGCAAGCACGAGCTGTTTCTGGACCCTTTCAACAGAAGCTATACTTTTCTGAGTAAAAGAAATCAAATCCCTGCCTCCTGCCTTTGAAACGGGCAGGAGACTATTAGTTTTTCCAGTCTTCCAAAGGAACTGATACAAATGTCGGACTCATCATGACTCTTTCCTAAGCTAAGGGCTTGGGGGTAACTCTCATTAAGGATAAAGATAAGGACTGCTCAATTTCAGCCTTCTGGTGTGCGGAAACATCCTCTACCTTTATCTGACTGCAGTTACATGGGTGTATACACATATGTAAAAATTTATCAATTGTACATTTAAAATTATAGCACCTCACACATCTCATTGCATGTAATTTTCTAACTTTTTAATTAGGTATAAGAGTTTTATTCCAGTCCATTGCCCAAGGCCACTTGAGGACACTGAGTCATGTCTAAAGACGCTAAGTCACATTTGGCTTTACAGGAAGATCTTCCTCTTCACTTTGTATCAGCTGGGAGGTTCAGTACTTGCCTACTCCAAAATTTTCATGCAAGGGTAAGTGACTTTGGTTCACATCCATCCAGAGAGTACTAGAATGGGAATTAACAGATCACTCACACTTGCCCAAGTCATTCCTATTTACTCATATTATAAGATGTGAAAATCTAATATTGGTTAAAGGACTGTAACTGCAGATAGAAAGGACTCCCTAACTGTCTGAACACCACTTAAGAAACAAAAGTTACCTATAAGACCTAGACAGAAAATGCCTAAAGTGTAGGATTTACAATGAGGCCTTACCTGCTTGCAGGTACTCTGGCTGCAGAGTTGGGGGCAGGCCCTCAGGCAGTGGGTAACCATTCTTCCGGGCCACAATGAGATGAAATGCAGCACAGAACTCAGGCAGGGTCAAAGCTCCATCACAGTCAGCATCACTAAGTTCCCTAAATATCACAAATGTCATGAGCACTGAGCACAGGGCTTAGAGGAAAAGTTACTCTGGCTCAAACATGTAAACATAACTCCCAGGTTCCCTGGTTGGTGGGCCCTGCAAGGGCCCCAAGTCCATATGAAATCTCAGGGAGCCACTTGAAGGAAGAGAAATGCTGATCAACAGCACTGCATCAGTAGCCCTTTATAAATAAAAAATTCTTCAGGTTCTCTGGTAGGTCTGTTTTACAACACTGAGTACACAAGACAATAAACTATGGCACACAAAAGAAAATAATGCCAAGAATTCCATGGTTAGTTGACAGTCAACTGGTAAATGCCTGATGTGGAGAACTCCAGATTTGGCGCTCAAAACGGTCAGAGAAGGGGCTGACCCCAGCCATGTTACAGGTGTTCCGGCCATTATACAGTTACCCAAGCTCAGAAATAAGCACTTCATTTTATACCTTTAAGAAAAACCTGAACTTTTCAAGTCACAAAAATTTTGCATTAAAAATTTGCTTGAGTGATCAAAACCGAAAGTTTCTGTGATGACTGCCCTTGCACTGTTCACCATGTAAGAACTTATTCACTATGTAAGAATTTGTTCACCATGTAAGAACTTGTTCGTTATGCTTCAGAAGATTGAAGACTGTTGAGAATTAGACTTGGGGTTGATTAATGATTGTGCATTGAGTCCCCTGTACAGAATTTTATTGTTGTCAACAACCATTTGATCAATAAATATGAGAGATGCCCTCTAAAAAAAAAAAATTTGCTTGAGAATTCCCTCCTGGGAAAATACAAATAAGCTCAATAAATACTGGTTGAATTATATTTTCAGATAAAACTAGCAACTAGGGAAGGCTGGAACCAGATAAGACAGAAAGGAAGAAAGGAAGAAAGGTAGAGTCTTAAAAAAAGGCTTATCTTGCTTCAGTCATTGTTTCCTCATGAAAGGCACAGACCTATTTACTCAGCACAAAAGAAACTTATTTGCCAAAGCAACTAAGACCCCCATAATCTCAACCAGTTTCCTAGGTGTTCAGAGACAATATAATCGTGCTATGAGGAGAGAGATAAGACATATAAAATAAGAGGTAAGACATATAAAATGTACTGGAAAGGTGTCATTATTTGAAAGAAATATTGAAGGCAACTCCCATAGCTTTCCTTTGGACCAGTCATATCCTCCTCCCTCTCAAATGTTTAGATTGCACCAGCCCCTAAGATGAAGTGAGGAAACTGGTTCAAAGGCTGGATGGAGAGAATACCATGCAGCTTTCATGGATATATCTTGACAAAAAGATAGGAAGCCTCATGCCCATAATGTTAATACTGGGAACTTTGCTAAAACAGACTATATCCTTTTCAAAATGATTAATTTTTTTATTTTTGTATCATTAATCTACAATTACAGAAAGAACATTATGTTTACTAGGTTCCCCCCTTCACCAAGTCCCCCCACATACCCCTTCACAGTCACTGTCCATCTGCATAGTAAGATGCTGTAAAATCACTACTTGTCTTCTCTGTGTTGCGCAGCCCTCCCCGTGTCCCCCACGCACTATACATGCTAATCGTAACGCCCTCTTTCTTTTTCCCCGCCTTTATCCCTCCCTTCCCACTGATCGTCCCCAGTCCTTTTCCCTTTGGTAACTATTAGTCCATTCTTGGGTTCTGTGATTCTGCTGCTGTTTTGTTCCTTCAGTTTTCCTTTGCTCTTACGCTCCACATATGAGTGAAATTATTTGGTACTTGTCCTTCTCCACTTGGCTAATTTCACTGAGCATAATGCCCTCTAGCTCCATCCATGTTGTTGCAAACGGTAGGATCTGTTTTTTTCTTATGGCTGTGTAATATTCCATTGTGAATATGTACCACATCTTCTTTATCCATTCATCTACTGATGGACACTTAGGTTGCTTCCATATCTTGGCTATTGTAAACAATGCAGCAATAAACATAGGGGTGCATCTGTCTTTTTCAAACTGGAGTGCTGCATTCATAGGGTAAATTCCTAGAAGTGGAATCCCTGGGTCAAATGGTATTTCTATTTTGAGCATTCTGAGGAACCTCCATACTGCTTTCCACAATGGGTGAACTAATTTACATTCCCACCAGCAGTGTAGGAGGGTTCCCCTTTCTCCACAACCTCACCAACATTTGTTGTTGTTTGTCTTTTCGATGATGGTGATCCTTACTGGTGTGAGGTGATATCTCATTGTGGTTTTAATTTGCATTTCTCTGATGATTAGCGATGTGGAGCATCTTTTCATGTGCCTGTTGGCCATCTGGATTTCTTCTTTAGAGAACTGTCTATTCAGCTCCTCTGCCCATTTTTTAATTGGATTATTTGCTTTTTGTTTGTTGAGGCATGTGAGCTCTTTATATATATATTTTGGATGTCAATCCTTTATTGGAACTGTCATTTATAAATATGTTCTCCCATACTGTAGGATACCTTTTTGTTCTATTGATGGTGTCCTTTGCTGTACAGAAGCTTTTCAGCTTGATATAGTCCCACCTGTTCATTTTTGCCTTTGTTTCCCTTGCCCGGGGAGATATGTTCATGAAGAAATCGCTCATGTTTATGTCGAAGAGATTTTGTCGATGTTTTTTACTAAGAGTTTTATGGTTTCATGACTTACATTCAGGTCTTTGATCCATTTGGAGTTTACTTTTGTGTATGGGGTTAGACAGTGATCCAGTTTCATTCTCTTACATGTAGCTGTCCAGTTTTGCCAACACCAGCTGTTAAAGAGGCTGTCATTTCCCCATTGTATGTCCATGGCTCCTTTATCAAATATTAATTGACCATATATGTTTGGGTTAATGTCTGGAGTCTCTAATCTGTTCCACTGGTCCGTGGCTCTGTTCTTATGCCAGTACCGAATTATCTTGATTACTATGGCTTTGTAGTAGAGCTTGAAGTTGGGGAGTGAGATCCCCCCACTTTATTCTTCCTTCTCAGGATTCTGTTGGCTATTCAGGGTCTTTGACAGTTCCATATGAATTTTTTAACTATTTGTTCCAGTTCATTGAAGAATACTGTTGGTAATCTGATAGGGATTGCATCGAATCTGCAGATTGCTTTGGGCAGGATGGCCATTTTGACGATATTAATTCTTCCTAGCCAGGAGCATAAGATGAGTTTCCATTTGTTAGTGACCTCTTTAATTTCTCTTAAGAGTCTTGCAGTTTTCAGGGTATAGGTCTTTCACTTCCTTGGTTAGGTTTATTCCTAGGTATTTTATTCTTTTTGATGCAATTGTGAATGGAACTGTTTTCCTGATTTCTCTTTCTATTAGTTCATTGTTAGTGTATAGGAAAGCTACAGATTTCTGTGTGTTAATTTTGTATCCTGCAACTTTGCTGAATTCCAATATTAGTTCTAGTAGTTTTGCAGTGGAGTTTTTAGGGTTTTTTATGTACAATATCATGTCATCTGCAAATGATTAATTTTTCCCCTAGCTTTAAAATCTAATATAAGTCTTCTCGTAAAAAAAAAATATGCTAGAATATACTGCTGAAGAACATAAATTCAGCTCAGAATCACAGATACACTGGCATGAACAAGTATTACTAGAATAGTTTTTCCAACAAGATGCACAAAGCATAACGAGTGATTTTTAAATCATACCATAAGTTTTATAAACCTTCATGAAAGTTTTACATAAACATTCTAATGTTTTCCTTATATATTTATAGCAGCATGGACCCCCACCCAGACTTGAGAAAGAATAGCCCACACACAGCCAGGACTCTAAAGGCACCAAGCGTTTTCATAAACACAAATAAGGACATCTGGACTATCCTGGAACAACCCTTCTGGAGGCAGGGTGGTGGCTGGCTAAGCAGCAAGGTGCAGGGCACGCCACAGCTGCAAGTCTGAACTAGGGCCCAGATGATAAACATCAGTCAAGTTTATGAAGCTCAGAGGCAGCTAGAATAGTCAAATTTTAACTTAATTCTAAAACATCTGTGGACATTCCTTTTACCTGGCCTCATAAAATATTGTGAAGAATAGCTTTTCAAGATCTTCTGGTTAACTGCATCACATTAAGTAGAAATATTTGAAAATAAAATACACAAGATGAGAATTTTCATATGCCCACAAAACTGTTTAGACTGAAAAGGGAACTAGATGAGGGTAATGATTAGGAATTACTTTTTAAATAATAACAGTTATAGTACATAGTATCTGCCAGACACTATTCATTATGCTTTTCATTTAATTAAGTTATTCAATATTCCCAGCAAAAAAAAAATCTAAGTTCAATTCACTCTCTTAGTCTGTTAAAAAAATTCAAATGATAAGACTTTTAAAATTCAAAAGTAGGAACTAAGGAACATGTATGTTTGACACTATGTGGTATTAAGTGAACTTACCATATGTAAGAGAGTTCTGGAATGGAAAGCTTTGATTTGGTGAAGAAGTTCTTTGCCACAGAACCTGTCAAGAGCCATTTGTTTAAATAAATCATTAATTACTTATCTAGAACAGCTTTTATATTGATTAGTAAATAAATCATCATTTTCTCATTCAGCAATCCCTCCCACAGAACCATAAACATGACATTAAAGCAACTATGAATCATATGGCTAAAAAACAACATATGAACAGCTTTTAAAATAATATATAAATTAGAATAGGCTAAAAGCAGCAAAGACATAATACTATGACCTGCAAATTATATAAATTAATTCCTATTTTTCCAAAAATCTGCAAATTTTCACTAAAAATTCAAAAGACAAATTCAAAATTATTAAAGTAAAAATCTGTCAAGAACTTTTAATAAGAGTGAGAAAGTAATATACAATCATAAAACAAACAAGCCAAAAAAAAAGGAAATTAACACCATTAACCTCATCATACAGAGATCAGAGATCTTGGGAAAGGGTTTTGGTGAGATTTAAGATCTCTTGGTGACTCTTGGAGAACCTTATCCAGGAACCTCTTGCTACTTTCTTTACTCATTTTTTACTAACTTATTTAGTCATTCTTTACTTATTTCTTTACTCAAATTTACTAATATTAATTGAAATCAGGTAATCATGCCATTTTACACGTTCCATAGCTGCAAGTTAGAGCTCCCCTTAAAATGTTAGACCCCATCCTTACTGAGACTGAAGTTCTTATGCTTTCAACTCTCAAAATAGTTTCACAATTCAAAAGCCTGAATTTTAACTCAAAGTCCCAAGATCTATTCTAAACAAAGTCAAAAATCTTTCCTTGGAATTATAAGTCTTCTAAATTGCCTTAAAACAACACATTATAATGAACCCTAAAGACTTATTTTCCTTGGATACATTAAGGGTCAAAGGCAATCTGCTCTATAAAACCAAGGAGCCTTCTCTCCAAAAGCATCCTGGAAATAATGCTGATAAATGATGTTGGCCATCAATGCAGCTACCTTGTCAAACATTTCTCAGAAATGCCTTAAAAACCTATTTAAAAACTATTTTATAGATATAAAGACATTTCCACTCTTCTCATTCTTTTTCTCCCTTGATACCCTTCAAATCACACTAGTCCCATAACCCACAACTTGAGACCTCATCTTGACTTCAGACAATAGAGACTGCTGTACCATGGCATCCCAGAGAAGTTAGGTAGCCCAGCTGTCAAGTTCACTTGTACCCTGGCTGCCACCCACCAGAGGGGGCAGCTGATAAGCCCAAGTGCTCCCCACTTAGTGGTGCCAGAAGTTCAAACAAACACCTCCAACCCTCACCCCAGGGCCACCCCCAGCCAACCTAGAAACCCCAAGCCAGCCTCCTTTCCTTCCTTCTCTCCAGCCATTTCAGACCTGCTAGGAAACCATAGGTGGGGAGGAAGAGGGAGAGGTGAGGCTTAAAAGCTGCCAGCAATCAAGCATCAAAACATGGATTCAGACTTTCTATTGGAAGGAGTCTCTCAACTTTGTAAACTATAGCTACACACAGCATTGACATGTCAGTGATAAAATGTTAACACACTTAATAGATACAGATCTTTAAAAAATAAAGACCAGTAACGCAATATAAAAATGAGGAGAGTTATGAAGGTTCACAGAAATAGATGCAACCGACCTTTAATCATATTTTTAAAGGATTCAACCTTGTTCATAAGAGATCTGTAAATTAAAACCACATAAGCATAAGAGCCTATCAGAAGGGGGAAAATAGAAGTTAACATATTCTAATAACAAGAATGTGGGGAAACAGGCATCTCACACAATGCTGGTGGGATGACAAAATATCATAACTCCAATGAAGGAAGATTTTGCAATATCTAGCAATATCACATCATCCAAAGATACTCTGACAAAAGTATAAAATGACTTGTGAAAAGGCTATTCACAATAGAAATATATGCATTAGGAAAACACTAGAAATGATTCAAGTAGGGAACTGCCTGAATAAACGATTGCACATTTACCCTTACGAGTAGTATAAAAGTATAAAAGGGAACACAAAATATCTCCACATGCAACTAAGTAGTAGTCACCTGGATACATTATGAAGTGAAAAAAAAAAAGATGGAGAAAGATATAAATAGGAAGCAACCATTTATCTAGGAAAGGACAAAGATAAGAATGCACACACATACACACATATTTACTTTTATTTTTAAAAACAAACCATAAAACAGACAGTTACCTATAGGGGCAAGGAAGGAACAAGGTAGTAGGAAAAGAGAGAATGGCTAGCTTTCTTTGTGACTGGGATTGTATTATAGACTCAATTTTAGAACCATGAAAATATTTTTTATAAGTATAAAATTAAATTTTAAAACTACAATCCCTAAAAATTAAAATCAAAGCAAATAAAATAGAAAAGAACAATGTCAGAGAACTCCTGATTTCAAAACTTACTACCAGGGGGCGGAGCCAGGATGGCAGCGTGAGTAGAGCAGTGGAAATCTCCTCCCAAAAACACATAGAGCTATGAAAATATAACAAAGAAAAATCTTCCTAAAATAGAGACCACAGGACACAGG